CCCCCCCGAGCTGCTTGGCTCCCCTGGCCCGGACGGCCTTCTGAGGCAGTTGCATGTGATTTGGGGGCCCCGAGCGCCCCTCCCCACATGTCGCGTCCCCAGGGGTGGATCTTCCATGGCTGCTGAGCTGGTCTGAGCCTTCCCCCATCCCTCTCCCACTGGCTGGATCTGTCCTGCCTCGCGCTCACTGGGGGGGTTGGGTTCAAAGCCCCCGGGAGACTCCCCCAGTGGGTCCTCCAGATCTAGGTTCTGGGGGTGGGCACCTCCCGTCTCATGACGCCCTGGGTGAGTCGGTGTCTTGCCACTGTGGATCGGGACCCTCCGCCATTTGCATGTGGCAGGAGGAACCGCCACGCCCCTGCTGTGCCGGAGCGTGAGCCTTGATTAGCCACCAGCCCTAACAGGCGGAGCCGCCGGCGTCAGTGCCCGCGCACAGAATGACCCAGCTGCAAGCGGAAAGACACCGACGAGGCACGAAAAGAAAGGAAGAACGAGGGAAGCATCTCTTTGCCAAGCCCGAGCGCTCTCTCTTCTCTGGGGCCGTTTAATTCCATCCCCGGCCCCGCTTTCTTAGGCAATCGTAAATAAGAAACCCTGGAACATTCTAAACAGCCAAGACGCACAGACAAGGGCACGTTAGCTACAAGGGGCTGGTGTTCCCTCCACAGTTGGGTTTTGTTTGTTTTTCTTTTAACAAAGTGCACAACCCACAAATAAATAGCAACATACAGCAATACATTAATTCAATCCATATCCTCGTGGCACAGAGACGTGGCTGATGAGTGAAGGAGGCAGCGGGTCAGCCCTGCGCTCCCTGTCTGTCGGTTTGCCCTGCTAATCCGAGTGTGGAGGGGCACATCTGTCTCTGTCGTCATTGCTCAGAACACCCTGCCGCCCAGGAATCTCAAAGCACGCGGCAGATGTTTGCTGAGGAGTCTGCATGCAGCCGAGGTAGGCATCATTCTCCCTATTTACATAGAGGGGGAAACTGAGGCAGAGATGCGGGAAAGTAGCCTGCCCCAGCGAATCAATGGCAGAGCCAGCAACCGAACCCAGAAGGCCAGATTGGAACAGTGTGTCAGGAAACTGCCCTCTTTTCATCACTCGTGTTCACTGAATTTCATCTGAGCCCCCAAACGGAGCTGGAGAAGGTTCAGCTGTGGTCAAATGCCTCGAGAGACAGACAGACAGACAGACAGACAGATGATGATAGACAGACACAGAGAGGGTTGGGGGTACGTAGCTATAAAAGGATTCGTACAGTGATAGACAGACAGACAGACACCCGGGTGATGTAGTGCAAAAGGACAGAGAGAGAGATGGGAGTATATGGCGATAGATCGGTCAACGGATGGAGGTGTATGGGAGCAGACAGACAGACGGACAGACAGACAGATGGACAGAGACACTGGCCAGGTGAGCGAGTGAAGGGAGACAGACCATGAGATGGAGGCGCATGGGAACAGACAGACGGACAGACAGGCGGACAGAGACACTGGTCAGGTGAGCGAGTGAAGGGGGACAGACAGACGGACAGACAGGCGGACAGAGACACTGGCCAGGTGAGCGAGTGAAGGGGGACAGACAGATGGACAGACAGGTGTGTATGGGGATAAATGACAGAGTCTCACCCTGCAGACCCTTGGCCAATAGACAGGTGGGTTTTGCAGGCTCAGACGGAGGTGTATGGGAGCAGACAGACAGACGGACAGACAGACAGATGGACAGAGACACTGGCCAGGTGAGCGAGTGAAGGGAGACAGACCATGAGATGGAGGCGCATGGGAGAGTGGCTGGGGACAGACAGGCGGACAGAGACACTGGCCAGGTGAGCGAGTGAAGGGGGACAGACAGATGGACAGACAGGTGTGTATGGGGATAAATGACAGAGTCTCACCCTGCAGACCCTTGGCCAATAGACAGGTGGGTTTTGCAGGCTCAGACCCACACAGTTCACGCTTGCTTACTTGGTCTGCTCCAGCTCTTTTCTGATTGGCTGCAGGCTCTGTGTTTTGTTTACAGTTCGCTCACTCAGCGATCTCATTGGCCAAACACCATTTCTCTTTGGTTCTAACGTCTGCCAATCAGCTTCTCTGCCAATACCCCAGGCTTGGCTTTGCCATTGGGGGGGATTTGCTGAGCTGGGACACTGGGGTTGGGGTTCCAAGGAAGTGCAGGGCACCAGGTGAACCCCAGAGCTGCGTCTGGGTCTCCAAGGAGGGACATTTGCTGGCAGGGGAGGGAGGGGCCTTCTCTGCTCGGGATTCACACCAGGGAGCATGCGGGGGCACACAGCCCCATGGTTGCCCACCTGGGCTGTGCGCTCCACAGCTGCCTGTGGGGTTTGCTCATCCAGTTCCCGTTCCCTGCAGCCGTCGCTTGCGCCTACATCTCAGCGGTCGCATGAAAGGTGCAGCTGCCCAGCGCAGCCCGTACATTAGCCCAGGTTGGCTCTGAGATAAACTAGAATGGTGCAAACCGAGCTCTTTTGTGATAAACGGTGTCCCACTAACGGGTTAAACCTGGTGCCTGGAAACCCAGCAGGAGGCAAGACCTGATACCTGCTTTGCCTGGGGGTTAATGACAACACAAGGTGCATAGCAGAGGAGACTGGAGGCCTTATAAATCAATGACTTCTCATCATCAAAATAGGGTGTTGACTCTGAAGGCTAATGATGGCAACAAACAGGTCAGTTGTATTTATTTACTATGCACCGATCATTACAGCAGACAGATCCAGTCATCTGAGATCGTCGGTGGGGGCTGGAAGCTTGAGTAAAGAGTTGCCACATTTCCCCTAGCGGGACCCCTCTCACTAAGGGCATCTATTCTGAGCTCCCTGGGCTTGATTCTGTGCTGTCCACCCTGAACAGTCACTTCTACCAGTGCAAAGTGGGTGCAAAACACTCGCTTTGCATGGGTAGAAACAGCCGCAGGATGTGGAGACTGGAGTCTCCGAACAGCGACGGGCGCAGACTCTGACCTTTGGGATGCTGACGTGGACATTGACTTGGGAGTCTGCGCTCCAGCCTTGGTGGCAGCAGCGCACTGAAATCCCTGGGGACTGACTTGCGGCGAGTTTCCCTGCCTGCCTGGGGAAAGGAGGGGCTCAGGACGGGCAAGGGTTAGGTTTCCGGGAGCAGGTCTGAGCGAGGAAACACCTCTTTCCTGTTCACCAGGCACCTTCCACCCACCGCGAGGGTCCGGGCCCTGCAGAAAGCTGCTGCTGTCTCACTTGGAGAGGCTGCCCCGTGTCGTCCGTCCTTGTGCTTAGCGGCACGTTGGGTATTCCTCTCCAGGCCAGGACAAGCAGGGGCCTCTGGCCGTGCAAAGGCTCCCAGCCTCCCAGCAGGTCGCACTCCCCTTCATGTCTGCCTGGATCCAGGGCCCGCCACGGGCATCAGCTCAGAAATGCAGCAGCTGCTTGAGACAGGGCCTTGGGGGAGCCCAACGTGCGGCGCCCCTGGGCACGATGCAGCCGACAGACAAAGGCCTGAGACGCCCTCGCTCCAGGCTGTTGCTCAGGCAGAAGGAGCCGAGAACCCAGGGCTGAGAGCTGCTGTGGGCCAGGCGTCCGGCCCGGGGTTCCAGTGAGAGATGGATGGGGGAGGGGCAGACGGGGCTTGGTGGCTCAAGAGGTCCGGCCTGTGGCTCAGACAGACAGATGGATGAAAGCTCGGTGGCTCAGCAATCCACCAGGAGGGACGTCGGAGACATGGACGGATGGGCCTCGGCTCAGTGGCTCAGTCTCCAGCAAGTTGTCAGGTAACATGTATAGTAGCTGCACGGACAGACAGACAGAGATGGGGTTGGTGGAAGGATATGGAGGAGAAATATGGACAGACAGATGTGGGCTTAGTAGCTCAAATGTCCAGCATGTGGCTTGAGTAGGAGATGTAGCAGACAGACGGACAGGCAGACGTGGGCTCGGCAGCTCAGACATCCGGCACATGGTTCAGGTAGAAGACCCAGCAGACAGACAGACGTGGGCTTGGCAGCTCAGATGTCCAGCACGTGGTTCAGGTAGATGTAGCAGACAGATGGACAGGCAGATGTGGGCTCAGTGCCGTCCACCATATGGTACAGGTAGGAGACCCAGCAGACAGACGGACGTGGGCTCAGCTGCTCAGATAGGAGACATAGCAGACAGACAGACAGACAGACATGGGCTCGGTGCTGTCCAGCACATGGTTCAGGTAGGAAACGTAGCAGACAGACGGACAGACAGACATGGGCTCGGTGGCTCAGACGTCCAGCACGTGGTTCTGGGAGGAGACGTAGCAGACAGACGGACAGACAGACATGGGTTCAGTGGCTCAGACGTCCAGCACGTGGTTCAGGTAGGAAATGTAGCAGATGGCCAGTCGTAGGATCTCGATCTTGGAGAGCTTCTTGTCGGGGGGCAGGGTGGGCAGCAGCTTGCGCAGCTCGGCGAAGGCCATGTTGAAAGCCTCGACACGGATGCGCTCCCGCGTGGCGTGGGCGGCCTCCTCCGCGCCAGCCCCGCGGCCCCCGCAGTCGCTAAAGACCGACTCTGTCTCTGAGTGAGATGGGGGCACGTCGATTTCCGTCTGGTCTGAGTTGAGCATCATCTTTTCAAAGGATGGAGGGATAGATATACCAATGGGTGTGTGGACAGACAGACAGACAGACAGACAGACAGATAGACACAATTCCAAAATAAAGCCTCCTCCGCGCCAGCCCCGCGGCCCCCGCAGTCGCTAAAGACCGACTCTGTCTCTGAGTGAGATGGGGGCACGTCGATTTCCGTCTGGTCTGAGTTGAGCATCATCTTTTCAAAGGATGGAGGGATAGATATACCAATGGGTGTGTGGACAGACAGACAGACAGACAGACAGACAGATAGACACAATTCCAAAATAAACTGGCTCTGCGTCTAATATTTTGTTTTCTGGTTCACATCATCATCATCTTGTTCCTCATTAAAAAAATCCTTCCAAAGAAATGTCAAAGCTGGCTCCCCTCTCCGGGGAACCGACACACAAATCAACAATCTTCCAAATAAATAATTTAAATAAATACCATTTCCAATAAATATATAACTTAAATAAATAAATCTCTCCTCTCTGTGTGCGCGGGGTGCAGGCTCCGTCTTGCGGCTCGCGGCGCAAAGCGGTTTTCCTTCTTCAGGAGTCAGTCTCTGCAGGTGCCTCCAAGGGGCTCTAGAAAACAGAGACAGCGGCGTTCTCACTAACGTCCTGCTCCCACTTGCCGAGGAAGGAGGGAAGGAAGGAGACTCGTCTGTCCCGTAGGGCAAGCAAACAGTCCCTGTCACAAGCCAGCAAAGCAGCCTGGTGCAGAGCAGAGAACGGCTGGAGCTCGACACAGGCAAGGTGCTAGTGGGGGGGGGAGCTTGGGGGTAGCAGCAGCCCAGGGCAGCAGGAAAGGCCACAGGGGGGAGCCCGTGGCGAGAGAAGCCATTTCTCCTGGCTCTCTGGAGAGATGACAGGTGGTGGATTGGAGCGGGGGGGAGACAGGCTGTGTGGGTGGGGGTGGGGGCCTATTGTATATTACATGAGCCCGTATGTCATGGATTCTGGCACCCCAGACATATGGAACCCAGCACAGCTGCTTTGCTTGATGTGTCCAAGTAGAAGCCGGCTCCCTGCTCCCCCCGGGAGTCTGCAAGCAGGCCAGGGATCCTGGCTCTCTGCCTCCCCTCCCTCCGCTGCCTTCGCAGCCCTGCTCCGGAGCCCACGCCCGCACACAGACGCTTCCAAAGCTGGGACTGTGGGTCTGGGGAAAGGCCAGGCCAGGCCTGACCCACCCCTGCCAACCAGGCCAGGCCTGACCCACCCCTGCCAACCAGGCCGGGACAGAACGGGACAAGGGGCAGAGTCGAGGGAAACCAAGTTTGGAAGGAAGAGGGTTAGAAGGAAAGCTCTAAGCTCTCGAGAGCAGCCACCGCCAGCGAGACTGTAAGCCAGAGAGCCAGAGGGCTAGTTAGCTACCGAGCTAGTTAGCTAGACACCAGAGAGCCAGAGGGCTAGTTAGCTACCGAGCTAGTTAGCTAGACACCAGAGAGCCAGAGGGCTAGTTAGCTACCGAGCTAGTTAGCTAGACACCAGAGAGCCAGAGGGCTAGTTAGCTACCGAGCTAGTTAGCTAGACACCAGAGAGCCAGAGGGCTAGTTAGCTACCGAGCTAGTTAGCTAGACACCAGAGAGCCAGAGGGCTAGTTAGCTACCGAGCTAGTTAGCTAGACACCAGAGAGCCAGAGGGCTAGTTAGCTACCGAGCTAGTTAGCTAGACACCAGAGAGCCAGAGGGCTAGTTAGCTACCGAGCTAGTTAGCTAGACACCAGAGAGCCAGAGGGCTAGTTAGCTACCGAGCTAGTTAGCTAGACACCAGAGAGCCAGAGGGCTAGTTAGCTACCGAGCTAGTTAGCTAGACACCAGAGAGCCAGAGGGCTAGTTAGCTACCGAGCTAGTTAGCTAGACACCAGAGAGCCAGAGGGCTAGTTAGCTACCGAGCTAGTTAGCTAGACACCAGAGAGCCAGAGGGCTAGTTAGCTACCGAGCTAGTTAGCTAGACACCAGAGAGTCAGCTAGTTAGAGAGCGCGAGAGCTAGTTAGTTAGCTAGGGGTGTATGGTGACAGAGATAAAATATTCCTATGGAACATCTGCACACGGCAGGCTGCTTTTGCCTTCTGACAAGCCATGCCTGCAAGAAACCGAGCGGGGGGATAAGCAGAGGCGAGCCATGGAAGGAGCACTCCGAGTCGGACAGTAACAGACTGACCTGTGCAGACACAGCCTCGCGCCTGTTCAGAAGTGCCCCGGAGAAGGATCTATATAAACACATCCTGGGAAACTCCCAGGCATGTGCACAGACATTCACACACACAAACTGACGCTCCAAAATTCACACACAGAGAAATTAACCCCCACACCAACCATACACGTGTACACAGTCATTCAGCCCTCACACCGAGACACACACATGAAAATCACAGACACAGGAATTTGTTAACACAGGCATGGGCACACAACAGACACACATCTCCCTACACACAGAATTACACACATGAGATAACGTGCCCACGCATGTATGCACACACACACATGCCTGTGCACAGCCAAAGTCTGGTTGTTTATATATATATCTGTGTGTGCGTACACGCATGTGTGGGCAAGTTATCACATGTGTGTAGTTTTGTGTGTAGGGAGACGTGTGTCAGTTGCGTGCCCGTGCCTGTGTGCATTGAGTTAGAGTAAGGGGCTGGGAGAGGGACACTCAGAAAGCTCGTGGGGTGGGGCAGGAGGGATACAGCGAGTCCCCGGGTGCGCAATTAGCACAAGAGACAAAGGAGCCTCCTCCTAGTACCGCACCCACCTTGGGGCAGGGCCCCGGTTCAGGGCCCCGATCCGGCCAAGCGCCCAGACACGTGATGCAATTCCCCAAGCGTGTCCGTCCCGTCACCGCGCGGCGTCCGTCTGACGTCACGTTGCCTGCTTTTCCCCAGCGTGCTGCCCCACACCCAGGAGCGCCCACTGCTAAGCCTGAGGGGGGCCAGGGCCCTGCGCTCCCTGCCCGGCCGGGGGAGCAGTGCACGGTGGGAGCGAACGACGGTCCGTGGGCAGGGGGCAGCCGGGAGCCGCTTTGCTTTTCAGGGGGCTTCACACTCTGGGGGGTTTCACCCGGTGTTATTCCTTAGCAGAGTCCCGGGGCACCACCTGCAGCACTTGTGCGTACTCACACACATGCACGCACACTCACATGTGTACATGCACACACACACACACGCACCCGCACTCACGCACACACGTGTACATGCACACACACACACATACGCACCCACATGTGTACATGCACACACACACACACGCACCCGCACTCACATGCATACACGCACACACACACGCACCCTCACTCACATGCGTACACACACGCACACTCACATGTGTACATGCACACACACACGCACCCGCCCTCACATGCGTACACGCACACACACACGCACACTCACGTGTACATGCACACACACACACGCCCCCGCACTCACATGCGTACACACCCACACGCACCCACACGCACATGCGTACACGCACACACACACGCACACTCACGTGTACATGCACACACACACACGCCCCCGCACTCACATGCGTACACACCCACACGCACCCACACGCACATGCGTACACGCACACACACACGCACACTCACGTGTACATGCACACACACACACGCCCCCGCACTCACATGCGTACACACCCACACGCACCCACACGCACATGCGTACACGCACACACACACGCACACTCACGTGTACATGCACACACACACACGCCCCCGCACTCACATGCGTACACACCCACACGCACCCACACGCACATGCGTACACGCACACACACACGCACACTCACGTGTACATGCACACACACACACGCCCCCGCACTCACATGCGTACACACACACACACACACGCACAGGCCCTGACCCCAAAGAGCTCACAACCCTGGCTCCACACGGGACACGGCTCAAGGCTGCAGCTTCGCCCAGCAGTGCGGGCGTGAAGGGCTCCCTGGAGGATGGCGCTTACGCCCGTGGACAGCAGCCCCACGCTTAGAATCCCGGAAGCCTCGAACCCTGGACGTGGCAGGGACCGCGAGAGGCATTGAGTCCAGTCCCGCGCCTCCCGGGACCCAGCACCACTGGACCGTCCCTGGCGGGTGTCTCTGTCCAACCTGCCCTGAAATATCCCCAGCGATGGGGACTCCACAGCCCCCTGGCAACTTGCCCCAGCGTTTAACCCCTGACAGGCAGGACGTTTTTCCTAACGTCCAACCCAACCCCCGGCAGCAGTTTCAGCCCCTTGCTTCTCGTCCTGCCCTCAGAGGCCACGGAGAATGTTTTCCCCTCCTCCTTGTGCCGTTAGGTACTTGGAAACCGCTCTCATGTCCTCTCAGGCTTCTCCTCTCCACACGAAACAAGCCCAGTTCTTCCAGCCTCCCTCCTAGCTCCTGTTCTCTAGACCTTCCATCCCCACGCTGGCGCCTCTACGCGCTGCCTCGGGCGAGGGCCGAATCCCTGCAGTCAGGTCTCCGGAGCCCCTGAGACCAGCTCCCTGCCTTCGGTGGACTCATGCTGGATTCGCACCCATCACCCCCACCTGTCAAGCCTTTCTAGCCCCGCTCCGCACCCTCTGCCTTCCTCCTGGGACTGTGGCCGCCCCACCGCTCGCATGGGCCAGTTTGCCACCAGATCGCAAGGCCAAAGAGAACAGGCCGGAGTCTCTGCCAGCGCTGCGGGCGCCCCAGCGCTCGCTCTGGGCTGTGCACATGGCTGTGCACGGTGACGGCGTCGCTCCGCTTGTTCCCCAGAAGAGCAGCGGGCAGGTGAGGACACAAATGCGGACCAGGGGCTCATCGGCTCTGAGGGAACGGGGGCTCTTCCCCTGCCCCAGACAGCCCATAGTTCTAGATACTCCACGGCCCCCCGACTTTACAGGAGTAATAGAACCACAAACAAGATTCCACAAGCTAACACAACTCCCCCTAACCAGGCTTCCCAGAAGCCGGTTGCCCGAGCGGCCGCTCAGGAGAGATTCAAAGGCTGATCAGCAGAGCAGCAGGGTTTTGTTTCTATGGGTGGTGCACATGCCTTGGTGCACAGAAAAAAAACTTATTCTGCGCACGGATGGAGAAAATCTGTCCTCTGATGGAAAAGAAATGGGGAACATTGACCTAGCCTACGGTTTGTTTTGCCGTGATGCCTCTGGTGCAGACACAAACACGATAAGCACCCGGCCCTAGCCTCCTGGGAGGTGATTAATGGAAAAGGAGTGGCCAGGAGGATTGGGGGAGGGGGCAAGGCACGCCACCTGCCCACCCCCCAGAACAATCACCAGCAGCAAGTGGAGGAAAACCGGCCATGTCCCTACTTGCCAGCCGCTTGCAGGGACGACGCGAGAGGGAATCACGTCGAGCGGCCGGGCTCTGAGGGGTGTCGATTCTGCAGCGCCACCCCAGTCGCTGGAATTACACCCAGTCCCCCCCTTCCAGGGGTCTGGCCCTTTGTTATTACAGCGAGATTGCGGAGTCAGTTCACTGCGACCCACCACGCAGGACAGGAGGCCTGGACAATTTCCACCCCGGGGAGCGGCCTCAGTCCAGTCCGGACTCTCGGGGCTCCGCGGGTCACTCGCACCAGCTTCCCCTACCGCCTCCTGGCTGAGCGAGCGAGGACTGCAGCCCTGGTGCTTTAGGCTGGTGACTTCCCCTCCCGGGTCTTCCCTCCACATGGCCACTGCACAAGCCTGGGCGGGGAAGCCCTCAGCTTCCACCGGCCATGAATATCGAACCCCCAGTTCTGAGCCAACGGCCTCCCCCACTTCCTGAAGCTCCCTGCGTGGCCCCTTGCCTGCCCCTCTCCGTGGTGCCACCCAATGCAGCCCACGAATGCTTGTGAGAGGCACCCGCACCCTGCCCAGGCAAAGCCGGGCATCTGGGCCCAGGACACCCCATCTGTGCTGGGCGCCTGGATCTGAGCCACCTCCATCGCCCAAATCGACCCCCCTTCGACTTCTCTGAAGTGCAGCAGGTGCACGGCAGAGGGACTTCACGTCTGGTAGTGGGTGGGCAGAAGAAATGCTTTGTCCTGAGTATTGGTGCACTTCTGCGTGTGTATGGAATCATCTGTCCCCACGCACCTATCTAATCTAATGCAGCTATGGATCCACATGTACCCCCGCTAGCTTATCTAATCTAATGCAGCTATGGATCCACATGTACCCCCGCTAGTTTATCTAATCTAATCTATGGATCCACATGTACCCCCGCTATCTTATCTAATCTAATCTATGGATCCACATGTACCCCCGCTATCTTATCTAATCTAATCTATGGATCCACATGTACCCCCGCTATCTTATCTAATCTAATCTATGGATCCACATGTACCCCCGCTATCTTATCTAATCTAATCTATGGATCCACATGTACCCCCGCTATCTTATCTAATCTAATCTATGGATCCACATGTACCCCCGCTATCTTATCTAATCTAATCTATGGATCCACATGTACCCCCGCTATCTTATCTAATCTAATCTATGGATCCACATGTACCCCCGCTATCTTATCTAATCTAATCTATGGATCCACATGTACCCCCGCTATCTTATCTAATCTAATCTATGGATCCACATGTACCCCCGCTATCTTATCTAATCTAATCTATGGATCCACATGTACCCCCGCTATCTTATCTAATCTAATCTATGGATCCACATGTACCCCCGCTATCTTATCTAATCTAATCTATGGATCCACATGTACCCCCGCTATCTTATCTAATCTAATCTATGGATCCACATGTACCCCCGCTATCTTATCTAATCTAATCTATCTATGTATCTGCACCCCCCATCTATCTATCTATCTATCTATCTATCTATCTATCTATCTATCTATCTATCTATCCCCACGCACCTATCTAATCTAATGTAGCTATGTATCCACATGTACCCCCGCTATCTAATCTAATCTAATCTAGCTATGTATCCACACATACCCCCGCTATCTAATCTAATCTATCTATCTATCCCCACACACCTCTTCCCTCCCTCTCCAGCCCGTTCACACTGTACTTTTTCTCTCTCTCCCCACCCATGCCCCCATCCCCACACCGTGTCCGTGCTTGGGACCGCAGCAATGGGTCGGATCCCAGCCCATCAGTGCATCTCTACTGCCCCCCCCCCAACCCCGTGCAGCCACCTTACCCCTAACCGGACGGCATCCTCAGTCACTAAAGTGCCTCTGGCTCTCCTCTGCGTGCAGGACGAAGCTGGACCAATCCCAGCCCCGAGGGTCTGGCCGGTCATTGACAGCGCAGAAAGTTTCCCCCTTGCGCGCTCAGACTCCTGCTGAGAGGGACGGGCCCGGGGAGGGGCGCGATCCTGTGACCGGGGCCCAGAGCTGCTGAGGGGCCCATGGGCTGCTGCACAGTTCTATGGACACACCTCGAAGCATGTGGGCCATACACTATATATACATGCACCCAAGCCAGCATGCTGCCTCCCAGCCCAGGCTTCCGATTGGCCACTCCGGTGCTCCCCCCTCATCAATATTAAAGACAGCAGAGGGGATCCCATTGGCTGGGAGGGAAGTTCGAGCCCCCCTGGGAGGAGAGGGGAGGGGGGTTGGCCATGGTCCGGCAGGAGGAAAGGAGGCTGTGGGGTGACGCGTGTGCACAGCGCTGTGTGTGGCTTTGTGCACGTGTTTGTATACCTGTGAACGCGTGTGCACAGCGCTGTGTGTGGCTTTGTGCACGTGTTTGTATACCTGTGAACGCGTGTGCACAGCGCTGTGTGTGGCTTTGTGCACGTGTTTGTATACCTGTGAACGCGTGTGCACAGCGCTGTGTGTGGCTTTGTGCACGTGTTTGTATACCTGTGAACGCGTGTGCACAGCGCTGTGTGTGGCTTTGTGCACGTGTTTGTATACCTGTGAACGCGTGTGCACAGCGCTGTGTGTGGCTTTGTGCACGTGTTTGTATACCTGTGAACGCGTGTGCACAGCGCTGTGTGTGGCTTTGTGCACGTGTTTGTATACCTGTGAACGCGTGTGCACAGCGCTGTGTGTGGCTTTGTGCACGTGTGAGTGTTTGTATACTTGTGAATGCGTGTGCGCAGCACTGTGTGTGGCTTTGTGCACGTGTGTGTGTTTGTATACCTGTGAACACGTGTGCACAGCGCTGTGTGGCTTTGTGCATGTGTGTGTGTTTGTATACTTGTGAACGCGTGTGCGCAGCACTGTGCATGGCTTTGTGCACGTGTGTGTGTGTGTGTGTTTGTATACCTGTGAACGCGTGTGCGCAGCACTGTGCATGGCTTTGTGCACGTGTGTGTGTTTGTATACTTGTGAACGCGTGTGCGCAGCACTGTGTGTGGCTTTGTGCACATGCGTGTGTGTGTTTGTATACCTGTGAACGCGCGTGTGTGCAGGACTGTGTGTGTGAGAGAGAGAGAGGCAGGCAAAGGTGTGCTGTTGGCGTGTCTCACACATAGTGCAGGGAGCCTAAGAAGACTTCCTTGGCATCAGTGCAACCTTCCTGTCTGTGGACGGGTCTTGAAGCCGGTGAATAGACTTTGAAAGTTGGACGGGCTAAGGGAGTCAGCCAGGCAGCCGCCCCTGGCAGGCACACAGCCACGGGGCATGGGCACGAACTCTGAACAGCGCGCCAGAATCTGTTCGGTGTTACATTAAGCTGTGTCCCCCTTGCCAGGCAGCCCAGCCCCTCTTGCTGATCCCTCCTTTAAACTCTCGTTTTAACCCTTCCTACATTGCTCTCAACACCAAGAATCTCCCCACAAATTCCCCTCCCTGGATTATCTACCTAGTTAGCACCCCCATCCATCCATCCATCCATCCATCCATCCATCCATCCATCCCCACCTCTATCTATCTATCTATCTATCTATCTATCTATCTATCTATCTATCTATCTATCTATCCCCACACATCCCCTCTATCTATCTATCTATCTATCTATCTATCTATCTATCTATCTATCTATCTATCTATCCCCACACATCCCCTCTATCTATCTATCTATCTATCTATCTATCTATCTATCTATCTATCTATCTATCTATCCCCACACATCCCCTCTATCTATCTATCTATCTATCTATCTATCTATCTATCTATCTATCTATCTATCTATCCCCACACATCCCCTCTATCTATCTATCTATCTATCTATCTATCTATCTATCCCCACACCACCGCACTGTCTCACAGCTCCCCAGTTGATTGACTGGGAACATCCCCCCTTTTCCCGGTCCCCCTCTTGCTCCCCCCCGAGCGCCTGGGGCTGCCTTGCTGCCCACTGCCCCCCTCCCGTCCCCTCGCCAGCGCCCCATGGCTGCTTTCCCCGGCCATGGTGGCCATGTGTGCACACCTGGGCCAGCTCCAGCCCGGCCCCTCTCAGCAGATGGTGGCGGAGTTTGCAGGGAGGAGAGAAGAGGCCGGGGAGGGATCAGGTGGCGGCGAGGAGCTTGCATCACCATTGCTATGGCACTGATTAAAAACCAATATCTGCCTAATGAGCCTGTGGCAACAGCAGCACCCACCCCGAAACTAACCCCCACCCAGATACACACACACACGGCCAGACACACACAGACACACACATTTCCCCGGCCATAGACACGCACACACAGAGACACGCACACACACGGACATGCACACGGATACACACACATGGATGGACACAAACATGGATACACACACAGACCCACGGACACACACAGAGACATACGCGGACACACACACATGGACACACACATAGACACACAGTTACGGACGCACACACACAAGGTGCCCAGCTCTCTCTCACAAACACACTTGCACAAATGCATCAGCTCTCCCCCTGTAATCATCACACACACACACACATGCACACACACATGGACACACACATGCAGACACGCACACACAGAGACATGCACACACACGGACGGACACACACATGGACACACACAGAGAAACGTGCGCACACACACGCGCAGACACGCACAGATGGACGCACACACACAGACATGCAGACGCACACACACGGACATGCACATGGATACATACACACAGACGGACACACACACAGAAACACGCGCGTGCACACACACATGGACGCATGCACACAGACATGCAGACACGCACACACAGAGACAAGCACACACACGGACATGCACATGGTTACACACACACGGACGCACATACACACAGACATGCAGACACAGAGACACACATGGACACACACATGAATACACAGATTCGGACGCACACACACAGACAAGTTGCCCAGCTCTCTCTCACACACACACTTGCACAAATGCATCAGCTCTCCCCCTGTAACCATCACACACACACACACACATGCACATACACATGCCAAAGACCCTGGTAAATATCAGACATTCTCACCCTCCCCTCCCCACTATATCCATGACACACACCTCCGCCCCGTCACCCTGCGCTTCCTTTGGGCCAGGACACGTCAGGGCTGAGCCTGGCACCTCTAGGACTGCTGCATCCGCTAAGAATGTAAAAAACTGCTTAAGCCCAGCTCTTCCATTACACAGTAACACTGCCGTCACCCCCACAGCCTGTGGCACACATGCACACACGCACACACACACACACACACAGGGACGCACACAAGTGCACACGCAGGGACGCATACACACGTGTACACACACACACACACACAGGGACGCACACAAGTGCACACACAGGAACGCACACACGTGCACACACACACACGCACACAAGCGCGCACACAGGGACACACACACACGTGCACACACACACGCACACAAGCGCGCACACAGGGACGCATACACATGTGTACACACACACACAGGGACGCACACACGGACGCATACACACGTGCACACACACACACATGCACACAAGTGCACACACAGGGATGCACACAAGCGCGCACACAGGGATGCACACAAGCACACACATGCACACAAGCGCGCACACAGGGACGCACACAAGCACACACACACCCGGACGCATACACACGTGCACACACACTCCGCCTGCTGCGGCCCACACTCCCATCTCCCCGTGGGAGGCCTGATGGCCCGCATCCATATTTATTTATTTCTCTCTCTGCCCCCGCCCCCCCGGGGCCAGCGCCTCTCCTATCGCCCGAGATGCTCTCTGGGCATCCTGCCCGGTTCCCGGGAGGAGGGGACGCAGGCAGCCAGCTCCGGGGCTCCCTCCTGCTCTGCTCTCCGCTTCCTGGTAGCCCAGCCCCGGGGCCAGCGTCTGGGTCTCTGCTTTGTGTGCTCTTCCCTGACTGCTTCCTCCGGGCCGCAGACAAACGTCTCCATGTAGCCGAGAGCCACGTCCCCGGATTCTCTCCGTCCAATGCAAGGCACCGGTGTCATTCAGCCACCCTGAGGATTCCCTCCGACAGCTGGTGCGAACCCCCGGGAGGGATCAGATTGGAGGGGGAGGCATCAGCCCATAGCCATCAGCAGCAATGGTCCCTCTCGGGTTTTCCATTCGCGTGCAGAATAAATGCTGTTGGGTGCATCAAGGCGTGTGTGCATGTGCACCGCTGCCCGCTGCCCGCCGTGGGCGCTCCGCTGACCAGCGGGGCCCTTGGGGTCTGGCGTGCTCGCCGAGCGCCAGGGAACGCTGGATGGCGGAGGACGGGAACGCTAAGGCCGTTAAAGACACATTGTCGGCGTCGCATCTCCCAAGAGCCAAAGGAGCCGCTGGCGACGGGGCCTCGGGAGCTTTCAG